TATTTGCCATTTATTTTGCTTGTTTGTGTTGTAGCAAAACAAAAAGGCTAGAATTATAAGTAAAAGTCTGAATTGTAAGATGCCAATTGTAAACTTTTCAATAATAAGAAAAAAGTTTAGAATTGTAAAACGTTGTGACTAGGCATGTGCTGGTACAAGTTTCTGACGGTATGATAACCTTGGATAAAAATACCAAAGTTTCACGGTATTGTGATAACTGTTCTTTTTAAATGTCTAGGTCAGGGGTGCCCAAACTTTTTCTTATGAAGGGCCAAAAACCAAACTTGATTTAGGGTGGTGGGCTGGATGTAAATATACCAAACTGTAAAGTTGTCATGGTAATTTCTTAATTCATTATTATAAATGTATTATATAATTTTAAAACATTTAATAATCCACACTCATACACTACGGACAATTTAGATTACCCAATCCACCTGTACCGCATGTCTTTGGATTGTGGGGGAAACTGGAGCACCCGTAGGAAACCCATGCAAACAAGGGGGGGGGGGGGGGGGACATGCAAACTCCACACAAAAACTGACCCAGCCGAGGCTCAAACCAGTGACCTTCTTGGTGTGAGGCGCCAGCAATACCTACTGCACCACCGCATTGCCCAATATCATAATTTATTATTTTTTTTAAATACTTTAATTGTACTGAGAATGATTCATTTTATAATGAACTGCTTACAATAAAAAAACATAAACAATCTCTTTTAGAACACTAGAAAATTCATCTTGCTTTGATTCGTTTGCTGATATCTTTTGCAATGTCTATCGAGTCACTGTATTTATTTTTTTTATCTAATTGGTTCACAACATTTAATTGACAAATTTAATTTGAGTTTGCTTTTTCTAGCTCAAAAGTTAAACAAACAAAAGGTTGTGTTAAATTAAAAATGACAATCTGTTAGAGGTATTCTCTCCAAAATTCCCAAAATTGTTCTCTCTCTCTCTCTCTCTCTCTCTTTTCTCAGATGGGATGGAGGGCCAAATCAAAGGTTACCATGGGCCAACTTTGACCCATGTGCCCTAGTTTGAGCATCTATGGGCTAGGTCAAATAAAACAAAAAGAAACATTTTCCCCATTGAACACAATATATTTTATTTTAAGAAACATTTATAATACTGTGGAGCAGTAAGCATGTCAGGCTAAATAGTTTAAATAAATAATTTTCCTTCTGCTCTCTTAATTAGTTTCAAAAACACAGATTTCTTTACAACACATAAAAAATACAATAAAAAGCCCTTATATATACCTCGAGAATGATAACAGAAAATTTTTGCGGTATAAAATCTTGATTTTCCAAACTGCGGCAAATCTTAAAACCGGTTATCGTCCCATGCCTAGTTGTAACTCACAATTCTGAGGAAAAAAGTCAGAATTATTTACCCGGAAACTCATATAAAAATCAGAAATGTGGTATGCAAATAATTATGAGTTTAAAGTTGCAATCTTTTTTTTTTTATAATTCGGCTTAGTCCCTGATTTATCAGAAGTTGCCAACAGCAGAATGAACCACCAACTACTCTGGCATATGTTTTATATGAAACAAACATTTTTAACATACTCTTTTTCATCATTCCGTGGCAAAACAAAAAAGAATTATGACAAAAAAAAGTAATTGCAAAAAAAAATCTCTGATGTTGTCTCTGAATTTTAACAAAAAGTTGTTAAATTAATTAATTTATTTTAATTTTTTTAAGTTAAATATAACCTTGCAACTGCACTGGGCACCATAAACTAAAAACAAATTGTGACAAAGTGTCAGAATAAAAACCTTATTTACATTTATTTGGTGGCAAAACCAAAAACTAAAGGTCATCATTGTGAGATTTTGATTCTAAATAAACTACTAGGAATTCTAATTAGATTTTATTTTGAATCAAGCAGCAGCAGAAACAAGTGTCACAGAAAAGCTCTGTAAATGGCTCATTATGGGGGGTCATTACAGGCAAATTACCTGAAGTGTTGAGGACTCTGAAGTGCGGAAACATGCAGTTTCGTTGTGGTTTGCCGGGTTTTACCTGTTGCCATAGTGCGAGGCAGATTTTCACTCAAATGAGGAACTAGTTCAAACTTTCAGAAGAGGGAGAGTTTTTTTTTTCTTCTCCTCCTTGAAGCCTCACCCTCCCACCCTACTGACCCCCTGGGGGGTGACTCCACCATTGCCATGGTAACCAACGGGCACCATTGTCCCAGGACCCGCCTGCTTTGCACAGTGACAAAGACTCTCACAAATAGATGCACCGCAACACACCAAAACACCCATCAAAGTTTCCCATTTTTAACTCTCTTACTGATACTTCTAATCAATTTTAATGCTATATCATGAGTTCTAATTACATTTCTGTCACTTAGACTAAACATTAGGGCGAGACATGATAAGCAAAAACACCTGTCCATTTTGAGATTTGTGTAAAGCAAACAAAATAGTTTTATTCAATGAATGCACATATTTCGGATTTTAATTACAATACATATTTAAGGCTATTTTCTTTAAATGATTATTATTCACCTGCACTGAGCTACAAATCTCCACTTACATCACATTCACTGTTTTACTCATATCTATATTCTGAGAGTTTATACAGATGGTTATATTCCTAAATAGTTTGACTGATTATATACAAAATATAAAAAAAGAAATATTGTGAAAATGCAATAATTTTTCCTGGCTCTTTCCAGTATTTTCCAAATTGTTGAAATATTGAAACAAAAATGAAATGTATGCCAGTTATAGAATTTTTCACTTAAAAATTAAAATTGTGTCATTTACTTTTTACATTTACTACATCATTCAAACTTTACTTGTTGCAAACCTTTTTTTCCATTAAACAAAAAAGAAGATATTTTGAAGAATGTTACTATTGACTCCCATAGTATTTGTTTTTTTCCTACTTTAGAAATCAATGATTACAGGTTTTCAGCATTCTTCAAAATATCTTCTTTTGTGTTCAAGAGAAAGAAACTCATAAAGGTTTGGAACCACTTTAAATAACGTCTAATTTGCAGTGTTTAGCAGTTCTATAACAAATCATTTCACTATTAGATCTTTTTTAACCTATTCACCTGTAGTGTCTTGCCTTAAGCAAAAAAAAATCTGAAACACCGTAACCTGTTAGAAAAACAGAGCATTCGATCATTGAGGATTTGAGGACTAGTTTCCACAGGGGACAAATCTGAATTCCGCCTGAGTCGAATGTGTTTGGTGTGCACTCTTGAGACGAGGCACCACAAAGGCTTCCCAGCAACTCCCAGCATACCCTGCTCGGGTCCCCTAGTCACCATAGCAATTGACACAGAATAGGAATGCTTCCCTGACAACCTCATTGAGAAACGGCTGAGATGGGAACTTTCTCTCTCTCTCTCTCTCTCTCTCTCTCTCTCTCTCTCTCTCCAAATCTTGCAGAATTGTTTGATCAAAAACCAAAGTGAAAAGGCATGAAACCTCACATGCATACACAGCATCTGCCACCCCAACGATTAACAATTACCCCATCATGGTATTTCAGTTGATCAGATGCTGCAGAAATATTCAGTAATAATAAAAAAAGATGGTTAATGTATTTAAAAAAGGGTTTGTTCCAACTTCTCTTGGTTTATTTGGACAAAAAAACAAACAATCTATTTAGTCCTGGTTCACATATTAAACATGAAACATAAAATACCAAATAAAAAAATACTTTTATGACATACATGTTTCCCTCCCTAACCTAAACTTAAACACAACAAGTTGTTTGTTGTTTGCTGAGCTGTATGTGCTTTGTTGAGAAATTTTCTCTGCCCCTCATACTGCAAGTGAACATGTCCAATCAACATCTCGGCCATGCCGTAGGCCAGATTAAGGTGAACATTTTATGTTTAAAATGAAATAGTCTATTAAGTCTTCAAGCATTTGGTGCTGTCATGAACATCATTGCATATATAACAAACAGAATATTCTAAAACACATATTCAAAAAACTATTTATGGTTTTTTGCCCAAAATATCATCCATGATTATTATCATGATAAACTACATCACAGCATATTGAAACAAATCTAATTTTGTGACATCATGTCATTTTTATGATTCATTCATTCATTTTCTTTTCGGCTTAGTCCCTTTAATAATTTGGGGTCGCCACAGAGGTATGAACCGCCAACTTATCCAGCACGCTTTTACGCAGCGGATGCCCTTCCAGCTGCAACCCATCTCTGGGAAACATCCACACACACTCATTCACACTCATACACAACGAACAATTTAGCCTACCCAATTCACCTGTACCGCATGTCTTTAGACTGTGGGGGAAACCAGAGCACCCAGGAGAAAATCCATGCGAATGCAGGAAGAACATGCAAGCTGACCCAGCTGAGGTTCGAACCAGCAACTTTCTTGCTGTGAGGCGACAGCAATACCTACTGCACCACTGCGCTGCCTTTTTATGATTCATTGAGTTCTTATTTATTCTATCTTCTGATTTCTATTAAACTGCATTAGAGTTTGTTCGGAAGGGGACTAAAACATATTTTTTTAGACGCCTCTTGTTTGGTTTTTGTTTTAAAATGGCATTTTTGAATGAAAATGCTCCTTGTCCAGACTTATGTTTTTACTGTCTTTCAATAAAAACAATCTCCTTCTGCACTATACAGTCTAAAAGACATGACAGAAGAGCAATTGTGCCATTGCACCTCCTATTAGTAAGTTTGTGTTTCAGTCTATTTATACTGAAAAAGATCACCATAGATTCCAGATTAAATGAGGAATTAATCATTTTCAAACTGCTCAGTTTCTGTGGGTCGAAGATATCAGAGCAGTTTGGATGGCAGGCAGAACTGTAACAATGAGCCTGCATTGTAAAACAAAAACGGATTATCCTAAACAGCACTTAAGTTCTGAATATCAGTGATCACACTTACTCAAGTGGACACAGCAATCGCAACATAGTTTGTTTTAATCAAGTGTGAACACAACTCAATGCTCCTCAACAGTTTAATATGATTAAAACTCACAGTTTTGGAGTCCAGCTCATGTCTGGTCTGGGCCAGGACTTTGTCCACACCAGCTTGGTCAACAAATGTGACAAATCCGAAACCCCTAGACAACAGAGAGATCAAAATTACAACACCTCCACCCATTCTGTGTAAAACTGACAATACAGTCAATAATAAAAGCCTTCGTATGTTTGCGTTCGCTTCCCAGTCAGGTTGGTCGTTCCCTTACCTCGAGCGTTTTGTAACTGGATCTCTCATCACCATACTCTCTTTCACTTCACCAAACTTGCAAAAGTAGTCCTTCAAACCCTCTGCGAAAGCAGGAGAAGATTATTTCATCACAATAAGGGTGAAAAGCTTAAACAGCGTGGAAAACCAAGAGTTTACGTCAATGACATCGAAAGCGAATGAATGACATCATCAGTGGAGATGATCTAAGATGCCTGATGTAAAATACAAGGTGAGGTCATCATCATGTAGATGCTTTTTGATGATTTGAAATCACACCATCCAAGGCTATATTTGATACATGTAAGTTGGTTAAAATGTAGACTAACATGAAGGTGGCTGCCAGGCCAATAAAGCTTCTCAGGGATTCAAATAACGGCAGTGATTCCCATCCGACTGGATGTGAGGTGCGCTGGACACCGCCAAAACACGTCTCCCTAGAGTTAACTTACTTTTTAATTCATTTCGGTATGACGATCCTATGTGTAAGTTAAGTATCAGTCGTATTAGTATCAATATAGTATATTGTTTGTTTGTTTGTTTTTACCAGGGGTCGTGCGGTGAGTCCGAGGAGGACAGGTTACTTTGGCTGCCTTCCGATTCCATTTGCGCGGCTGTGTCTCCCGTCCGAGTCTGGTGCGAGAAAGGAGGCAGAAAGTGTGGAGAGGGGGATTGGCATGGGGTGAGTTAGAGCTCAAAGCCCAAAGACTCCACCTCTCTCTTGGTCCAGTCCCGGCCTGAAACACGGGAGCCCTCAAGAACTGACCGGGAGTCAGTGGAGGATTACCTTCCTAAGTGACACAACGATGACATCACAGCTGAAATAATTCGACATCATCTGCTCAAGCTGCCCGTCTCTGTCTAGGAGATTCACCCATTATTGCAGTAACTTGCTTTATGTATATATTATGTATGTGTTTTGAGCATTTACATTACAACTATGTTTAATTGGGGACATTATCTATCTATCTATCTATCTATCTATCTATCTATCTATCTATCTATCTATCTATCTATCTATCTATCTATCTATCTATCTATCTATCTATCTATCTATCTATCTATCTATCTATCTATCTATCTGAAATATGTACTTATTATACAATATTTATATCACTCAAAAACATTATTATTAATTTTATAAAAAATTAATTTTTCATAATGTTTATGCATGTAAGATTACATATTAATACTGAAAAAATATATTACATCTAAAACAACAACATAAACAACAACCACAACAACAACAACAAATTTACCAGAAATAAGTGAAAATAAAATAAAACACTTATTATTACAATATTTAATTCATATAATAATTAGAAATGAATTAATTCAAAGTTTTTAACAATAATAATAAAAAACATATAAAGCTATAACAATATTTTTAAAAAGTTGAAATAATGTAGGTTTAAAAATAATTATAATAGTAATAACAACAATAACAACAACAACAACAACAATACCAGCAAGAATAACAACAACAACAATAATAAAAATAAAAACTAATCGCAATTAATCATTGACATAATATATAGGTGTACTGTATATGTTTATAATGTGTGTGTGTGTGTGTGTGTGTGTGTGTGTGTGTGTGTGTGTGTGTGTCACACACACACACACACACAAACACACACACACAAACACACACCACACACACACACACACACACACACACACACACACACACACAAACACGCATGTATATATTTTAGAAAATATTTATGTATATTTAGATATAAATTATATACGTATATGATACAAATTATACATTCATTTAAATATCTATGGTTTAAAACAAAATTGTTCTGTATGGTTTTGTTTCTCTGTGTGTGTATCACATATACATAATAAATATATACTGTATAATACACACACTTATCTCTTGTTAAAACTAATTTTTATTTTGGATGTGATTAATTGTAATTAATCTTTGCCCAATAAAGGGACTAAGCCAAAAAGGAAATGAATGAATGAATGAATAAATAATAACAATAATAATTATTATGTTCATAGACATATTCAAAGTACTCAAAGGACATGACATTTTATGTTGTTATTATATTTATTTGCACACATGATTATCAAAATGTCTATACAAACTGAATAGAAAAGTTTGTGAAAATCAAAGAAAATCGTGCAAAGTCAAATTTTAAAGAATTACTTTATCAACTTCATTAAATTCACAGCCTCTTTTTTTAGAGGCCATGCTTGTCTGTGTTTGGCTTTTCCTGTGAGGTTCCGTCTTTGACCTTCTATTCTGACAGATCAAACTTTCTGATAGGGCCTGATAACTTTCTAGGTTCCCTTGATTTTCACTTTCATTTTTTTCGAGTTTGTTGTGATTAGGTTTTGTTTTTTCACTCTGAAACTGCTCCCTTTCATTCTTTCTATGCCATTTTCAGATTTTTTTCTGACACCTGTTGATGAAACTGCTCCGGCTTAGTCCTGAACTGCTCTCTAGGGGAAGCCCATATCAGGACAACATATCAACATCACTAAAAACAATTTCAAAAACAGACATGCATTTAAGCAGGGGTTTTTAACCTTTACAGGTCCGGTGACACGAAATCAAAGCCTTATTAACTCATGAACGCCCAGTATAAAAAGGCAGATCATCAGGTTGTATTTATTAAAAAGATGTTATGAAGAACTAAAAAATTGTGTTATAGTAATAGTTCACCCCAACGATAAAAAAATATAAACTGTAATAATAAATTACTAACTATTTACTTATCCTCAAATGGTTCCAAGTGCTTATGAGTTTCTTTTCTGTTGAACACAAAAGAAGATGTTTTGAAAAATGTTAGAAACTTGTAACCATTGACTTCCATTGTGGGAAAAACAAATATGGAAGTCAATTGCTAAATGTTTACAAACTATTTCAAAAATAATTTGTGTGTTTACAGAAAACAAACTCAAACAAGTTTGTGACAAGTAAAGGATGAGTAAATGACATAAGTTTCATTTTTGGGAGAACTATCCTTTTAAGTTGTCTGCCATATATTGGTACAGTCAAGTTGTCTATGCATCTCCAAACATGTATGAAAATCTATCTACTGTACAAAAGACGTTTAGCAAATGATGGATCACAAACCTATTTAGTTACAATACAAAAACATATATTCTCATATATGGTTATCACATTTTTTTTTTTTAGAACTTAAATTTAAGAGGGTTTTTACAACCAGAGGTTTCACAACATTTTGTAAACCTTGATTGTCTGTTTAAGAATCTGTTCCCTATATACTTTTAAAAATAAGCTTATGTACTAGCTTCAATGAAGGCTTTTGCATTAGCCAGATCCAGGAATTTATTCATCGACCAGAGAATAAAGTAGAACCAATTCTAGGATTAATTAAGTTACCTAGAGATTTTAGTTCATATCGACATGATTGCATTACACAGTTGCTGCAGATTTGTCGGCTGCACATCCATGATGCAAATCTCGCATTCCATCACATCCCAAAGGTGCTTTATTGGATTGAGCTCTGGTGACTGTAGAGGCCATTTGAGTACAGTGCACTCATTTTCATGTTCAAGAAATTAGTCTGCGATGATTCACGCTTTATGACATGGCGCGTTATCCTGCTTGAAGTAGCCATTAGAAAATGGGTACATTTTGGTCATATAAGGGATGGCCATGGTCAGCAACAATACTTATGTAGGCTGTAGCATTGTAACGATGCTCAATTGATACTAATGGGCCCAAAGTGTGCCATGAAAATATCCCTCACATCATTACACCATCACCACCAGCCTGAACCACAAGGCAGGATGGATCCATGCTTTCATGTTGTTGACGCCAAATTTATACCCTACCATCCGAATGTTAGCACAAATCGAGACTCATCAGACCAGGCAATATTTTTCCAATCTTCTATTGTCCAATTTTGGTATGCCTGTGCAAATTGTAGCCTCAGTTTCCATTTCTTAGCTGAGATAAGTGGCACCTGGTGTGGTCTTCTGCTGCTGTATCCCATCCACCTCAAAGTTGGACCTGTTGTGTGTTTAGGGATGCTCTTCTGCATACCTCGGTTCCATACAACGAATGGTTATTTTAGTTACTGTTGCAATACTCAGACCAACCCTTCTGGCACCAAAAACCATGCCATGTTCAAAGTCATTTAAATCACTTTTCTTCCCTATTACGATGAGTGGTGGAAAGAGTACTGAAAAAGCATAGTTAAGTAAAAGTACCATAACTTGCCTAAAAATGTAGTGTGAGTAGAGTAAAAGTACCTGTTGTAAATATTACTCAAAGTAGTATTTACATGTAATTTGTTGATGTGTGTAATTGTAACATTCTGTAGTGCATTTAGTTATTTCCCAGCAGGCACACTATGTCATAAGTAGTTAATATTAGATTAGATTTAGGTTGTGACGTCAGGTGACCAAAACTCAATGTCTAGTCAGCGTCTAAGGACAACATTATTTTGATGTCCAATAATGACATTAAATGACGTTGATATTTAGTTGATTTTAGGTTGTTAGAAAGTGACCAGAATCCAATGTCGAGCCAACATCTTAACCCCTTCAGACCTGAATTATATTCCAAATTTCAGAAAAATGTAAAAGTATATTTTCACAGTTCTTGAGGCTCCCATGAGATCAAATTATTAAAAAAAAAATTTCTTCACTCATTAGGTGTATTTATTTGTCCATTGTAGTGGACATCTGGTCAAAAAAGTTGTAATTCCCTAACATTATAACATCATCATTACAAAGTAGTGGTTTTACATCTGCATCATGGTCATGATCTTCTCTGTCTTCTTGATCCTGACTTTCCTCTGCCTCAACCTCAATTTCTCCATCTACCTCTGGTAACTGTGACTCATCTCTGTCTTGCCCTGAAATTGTTAGCAGAAACTGCCCCTTACAAAACACCATAAATGTTTTATATTTTAATTCATATTAATAGAATATTATAAAACCATATATGCAGATATGGTATAGCAGCATTCAATTAATTGAGGAATTTAAAATTTGGTGAAATGCTCCGTAAGTGAAAAAAAAAACATGGGATGTCATGTGATGTCCATTGTAATGGACACAGAGTCTGAAAGGGTACAACATCCTTTTGAC